TTTCGCGATATAAAGATCAAATTTCATTTGCTTACCTCACTCTTCATAGTCGAAGAGTCGGCTGCAGATTTCTACCGTCATCTGCTGAACGAAATGATATATGTCCCAAAGGAATGTAGACACATTGTAGTTCATGGAACAACACCTGTGAAAATCACTATCCTAAGCAGAACGATCAAGAAATACTACTTTCTTGTGCGGAAATTTGCACTAGATTTCACGTTTTGATAACAAGACAAGAATTATGCCATCCGATACCAATTGAATGGTAGATCTCAAAAACCTACCTGTGCTATTATTCCGGACAGGAGGTAGGAGGTAGGTATTGGATTTTTTTTGAACTTCTGGAGATTATATGTTGTTGGGAATACTTCCTCAGGCAATGAATTCCAGAGCCTAGCCGTTCTATGGATGAAGGAGTTTTGATGAAGTGCTGTTCGACATCTTTCGAGGTTGACAACGAAAGGATGTGCTGACTGGGCTTGTCTTGTTCGTCTGACTTTTATTGCTAGTGAAGGGATGATAGCACAGATTTCCGAAGAAAATTTCCCGCGGAAGTATCGATAGAAAAGTGAAAGGTCGCCCACCTTTCTACGGTGTTCCAATGATGTCAAAGAGTGAGTGAGTGTGGCGTCACCCACCAGGTGAATGGCTCTTCTCTGGATGGAAAAGAATACTCAAACGTGTCGAGATTCAAACTGATGATGTAAGTAAGTAGGTAAGTAGCAGTGCGTCAATACTTCCGAGAATATTGCGCACCCCTCTGAAGAAAATATCTGATGGACCAGTGTATACCTCAATGAGTTTCACACTGGTCCATCGGATATTATCTTTCGACGAAGGCGAAATATTCACGGAAATATTGACGCTCTGCCACTAGCTCAGATCAACTTGAAGTGCAGCACGTTTGGATATTCGCAAAAGAGACATCTTCCCCTTTCATTTGCTTCCTGTTTCAACTCATTATCACATGATGAAAGTATGTCCGGAATAATAGGAGCAAATAAATCGCTGTGCCGCGAATTCGACTCAGATTGAGGGGTGACACAGATAGGTTTTTGAGATCTACCATTCAATTGTTATCGGATGGCAAAATTGTTATCTCGTTATCAAATCGTCAATTCGAATGCAAATTTCTGCGCAGAGAGGTGCAATACTTTATTCATTTTGCTCAGAATAGTGATTGTCACAGGTGCCGTTCGATGAACTACAATGTTTTTACTTCCCAGCGAGCACAAAAACATCTCAGAGATGTTAAAAGTACGAGATTTCGAGACATCGAACCTCCACTGCGATGTTCTGTTCACACATGAATAGAACTATTATAGAACAGCCAATGTCCGCCGCAGGCGGCAATTATCGAGATGTCCTTGATATGTCACAAAACTACCTTCTCCCTAGTTCTTTTTAAAGCCTTTTCATGGACACAAATTGCTGTAAAAAAACCATTTTCGAGGTACTTTTCTGAAGCCTTTTGTCAAAATGAACTTTTGCATTAGGATTCCATTTCCCTTGAATGAAAAAATGCATTAAAAATAGATTGAACATAAAAATATTTTCTTGATATGAAATTACCTTCTTTATCGGTTTCTGAGTAGTGCTCACTACACACAGACATATAATTGGAAATAGGTTTCCTAATTTTTGAAATGTTCTCCACAATGCGTAATTTTGCAACTGTGGAGAAGCTGTGTATTGATAAATTCGTACTTTTAAATATTGATTACACTGAGGCACCGAACAGCACATCTTGCATCTGATGGTCATTATTACAAACTAAATAAGTCTTCTAACACAATAAACTTCACCAAATTCCTTTCTGTTCGTTAGCAGCGTGATGTAAGCGTGACACGCTGCAAACGCGAATGCCAATTGCGAACAAGAAGAACAAAATCGAAAACAAATCAGAATTCATCGTATTGTGACGTAAGCATGAGACGTTGTGGTGGGGCAAAAAACAAAGGGCACAAAAGAACAAAAACAATACTTTCAATATCCTTCTAAGACCTCTTTGGGAAGTGCATATTACGCCTCAAAAAAATATCCTCATGCCTACATTTCTAAAACATCCCAAAACATCCCAGGGATACCTCTCAGTAGGCAAACAAAGAAATGCCACAGAAGAAAAAAAACAATACTTCAATATCCTTCAAAGACCTCTTTGGTCAGTGCATTACGTCTCAAAATAACATCTTCATGCCAACATTTTCAAAACATCCCAAAACATCCCAGGGATGTTTGTGCTCGCTGGGTTTCCTTTGGGACATTTTGTTACATTTATACATTCATGGCTTTTATTGACAATGATTATATGAAATGAAAGCTAATTTTTTCTGTGGATGATGAAATAACTCTGCTGAATGCATATATGGCCGCAAATAGTGGTTGCCAGCTGTTAATGGTAAATTATACCGAAGAAGAATTTATCGTGCAACATCGCTCGTAATGGTGGATTTATAAACTCAACTAAACTAACAATTAAGAACTGAGAATTAGGAAAGATGGATACATGGAAATCCCATTGGGGTTTTATAAACTTGTGTCTGTTAATTAAACTAACAATTAGCAACTAAAAAGATGGCCATCTTTCAACTTTTCAACTAAGAATTAACAATTATGAATTCGACGCATGCGCATGAGGCATCATATTTTTTGACATTGACATCAAGGACCGCGAAAATATGAAATATATCTTGTCTGTGGAGAGATTTAACTTCACTTTTAATGAAAATACTTTCGAGTAACTCCCATTATAGCGGCTATCGTTTGCCAAGCATTTTCCTTTTTGACATTGTTTTTGAAATCCATGTTTCTCTTGCCATAGAGTAGTCTAAACTGGGACACCCTCTCTACCAGTTCTCCATCATCCATTATTTTGATTAAACTATCTCTGTATTATGAAATATTCTTCATCAGGAAGGAAATCAACCCTTTTATAAAACATAACATAACCAAACAGAACGCCCAGAACGGTTTCTTTACTCTAAGCGTCAAGCACGAAACAATAAAAGACCTAATTCTAAATTTTCAGTAAATTATGTTTATAAACACATTCTTATAGTTGTTAATTGTAAATTGCTAATTGTTAATTAGAGTTCTTAGTTTAGTTGAGTTTATAAATCCACCATTAGTCTCTTCGTATGCGTCGGAAGCTATAGTGTTCTCGACCTATGACGCACACCGTAGCGAATGAAACCTCGGATACTGATGTAAAAAAAAATCAAATCAAATTATGCAGTATGATATCCGATTACGTCCGCGGATCCCACTGTTGATGAAATGTCATTAGACGAGCACATTATAGCCTTTGTGAACTAGCCTGCAGTAAAGTGCACTCAACCGCCCGGTTTTGCGGACGAAATGTGTCACTTTACTACCCGCGGACCCATTATGGCCCGCGGGCCGTAATAGTATATTACACACCAAGGTGGGAAGTGATTCATTCCCGTCGTGAGATTAGTTTAGTTAACCCAGACGCAAAGCGTCGAGGTTAGCTATAATCCCGAGACAGGAATGAAACTTCCTACCGAGGTTTGTATACTATTTTATTCACAACCATCATATTTCGATAAAAATTAATAAATCTCTGTTTCGTTCTGAACATATCTGAAATATTACATAATTGAGTAGAGGTGTGTAACATGACGCTTCTCAACCTCCAACGACGTTAGTAATGACAACATTACATATATGGTTGTAAATAAATTACTTTATTTCATACTGCATCATAGAACACACCTTTACGTACCTGATTTCAATCCGGAAAATAGACTTTTACAAGGATAGGCGCACGTAATATTTCATTACGTGCTACTATCCCGTAATGAAATTTTACCGGATTGTAAATATTGAAAACTCAGTTTTGCGTCAAAAGCATGAATACATTTATTAAAAATTCAACAGCAAAACAATACACAGAAATTACTTATTGCTAATATTGATATTAACCGTTAAATTTTCGTTCCCATGAATATGGATACCAGGAGCTCCATTGGATGAATTATTTGCGCAAAATATCCTCAGGAATCTTGAGCTGTGTCCTGAGCCATTTCGTGAAAAACGCGTAATGACAATCACTGACAGTATTATCTGAAACAAAAATTATGTTTCTAAGGAAACTATCTGCCAGCTATCTTGGGAGTGAATGCAAAATTCTGAAATAACTGGACGCAGATAAATAGATTATTTTTTTATTTTTCACTGTTCATTTGTGTTTTTTAGCAGTATGAAATAAAATGTTATACGTCACATGTCCGGTAAACTTTTACAGTACTCGTTTCGAAATTCCGGACTCGGCTTGCGCCTCGTCCGTAAACATCTCATTCGTACTGTAAAAGTGTACTTACCGGACTAGTAACGTAAATATCTATTTCTGTTCTCAAATTCCTTTACGCACTCCTTTGAATAATTGCTTTCTTGCTGTCTAAAGTTTTCACATACAGCAATTTAGCTTGATTTTTTGATGAATTATTAGACAACAGCAATATCAGCTTTATTGACAACGTCAAAATTATGTAGATATATACTGGGTATGCGTTTCGTAACATTTCAAGAAATCAATCTCTCTTGGTGATCAAAGAGTTTTAGTATTCGTACGATAAATTTGAACTTCCCATAACCATCATGCTTCTCTTGATTACTGCATATTCATACGTTATATATAAAATGTGCCGAGAGCCATTGCACGCTGAAGGTCAAAAACGCATACTTTACGACCTTGATACATAAATAGCTATTATGACACGAAAGGCACTTCATCATTTCATCAAATATGCTTTACATCAACAACAATAAAAACAATGCTTTATATCAGGCACTTCAAAACAACGTCATCGTCTGATGATCAATTAATATTATTTTAATAATACCCCACATTTCGATAGGAATACTTGATGAACGTAGTAATCTTTCTGTTGGATCTCGTACGATATGTCTCATACTACATTTATTTATCAGTATACACTACACAGTATCATGAATTGAATACCCTGTATTCCAAGCGACGACAAAATCATAAGTTGGAGATAACCAGCGACTAACTCTCTATCAATGATGGATTTCAGCATGCGCGCATTCAGGACCTTTTCAGGAGTCCTGCGTATATCTGAGGTTGTTTGGTATCGATTCTCGCGAATGCCATAGCAGCCATTTTACTGAAACTAACTAGTTTCAGGTCACTGAAATCGTGAAGCCTAGTGCAGTTCGGTCCATTGATTTTCGAGTGATAGCGCATAATGCTCAATAGGAGTTTTTAGTGAACGGTATTTTGAATAGTGAGGAAGATTTGGCAAGATGTAAGTACACATCTTCAAAATATTCTTATGTAGAAATACGTCATTGAATAGAAAGACCAGAAAATATAGGTGAATATTCGTTAACAGCTCATATATTATAATGTATCTTATTCAATATCTATCCTGTGAATCAATTGGGAATTTGAGCTCGTCAATACTCACAGATTTTCATTCAGATGATTTTGTTCTTCCTCAATAGCTGAACTATCTTCTAGTGATTTGACATCAAATAAGGCGTTTCAATTGTATTTATAATTTAGGTATGTTGAAGTTGGTACACTTTTGATACAATCATGCATTTCATCACTTCTCACAAAATTTGTCTCTACCAGGAAAAAAACCTGTTTTAGTGATGTAAAGACTTATATGTATTGATTTTTGTTATTGAAGTTCATAAATAGCAACATCGTATAATGGTTTAGAAATTGGTGCACTTTTTAGTCATTATCATGGAATTCTGAGATATAGGTACGTAAAAGTATGATATCTATTTTCGATACGAGACGATACTCTGGAGTAGAAAGTAATTGTGGCCTGTTCTAGCTAGGGCCTAATGGAATATAATCAGTTTCCTTGGTGGAGTCATACTCCAGCTGACCTGAGTTTTCCTTGATGTTCATCACTGTGGCTCCCATCTACTCCCATCATATGATCTATTTCGATAACTTTCAGATGATAATAATCTGCGAAATTTTCTATAGTCAACCGAGTTTGATTTTGAATTGACTCGGCCGTTAATTGATGGAAATCCATAGTAAATGCAGAAAATTCACAAACGATATGAGATTTCCACAATAGGTATTTATTATATAAGGGAAAAAAGTAGTAGGTGTTAGCTCCAGGTTGTGTTGTGACAAAAAACCGTGAGATGAAATCTATAATATTCCTTCCGTGTATAATTCACTATTTCTTTGTGACAGGAGAAAGGGCGAATCAATATTGAGAAGATATAACATTATATTGAAATCAGAAAATTGTCATTTGTAAGACCACTAGAGGTCAAATTATTTCCGAAAATCCCGGAAAGTAATTTGACCTCGTGTGGTATTCGGTAAGAGAATTTCACACCAGATTGTGTTTGGAAATTAAAGAATTTTAGAATTTATTTGTTCATTTGATATGCATACAGGTTGATGAATAAATTCAGTTTGGGTCGCAGTTTTGGCACCAATAATAGATTCCTGATTTCTACCTATTATATTCGCATGAAAATACTGGTTCGAAATGTAACATATTATATTCTTTCATTCTATATTAACTTCGGGATACTATAAGTGATAAGAAATTATAATTTTGTCAATTGATTTTTCATAGGTATAGGTACATACTAGTAGTTGAGAAAGGGGAGGCGGTCGCCTAGCAAGTAGGCCCCAGTTAGCCTTTCTTGCCGACCCCTGATGCACACATCATGTGCACATAATATCTACTATTCCTTCTCCTAATTCTTCTTTTTGAACCTCCGTGGATTTCTGATGAAGGTCAGTATGTCCGTCCACCTTAGTAATTTGATCTTCCTGTTGAAGCGTATCAGTACCAGAGATTTCGAATTTTAGCCTTCCATAACGCCTTACACTGGCCCAGATAGTGGTATGACATTCTATATTATATAGATGCAGTTAGGGGATCAATGGATTCTTAGCCTATTAATTGTTGAATACTACTCAATTGGAGTGGTACTATATCACTATTTCAGGACGTCAAAGTACTATTCTGTCATTACAACGTCAGAAAAAAAAAAATTCCGATTTCATACACTGGTGGGTACCCACAGAAAAAAATTTCCACTAAAATACATACGTTGTTATGGTAATTTGTCATAAAAACCCAATTTGACTGTATAAAATTCACTGGTGTGGAATTTGCGACGTGATATTTGAAGTTTCTTGGTAGGTCATCAGCATGACAGCTCCGAGTTTTTGGGCTTCTTACTCAACAAACTACAAGATCAAGAGAATACCTTCAACTTTTCTTGTAATTTCTCTGAAGAGAAAGGAGAATCTATCACCACGCTGGTGCAAACTTTTTTCAGCACCAAGATGTTGACTGTTTCACGATGTTTGGTTTGTGGAACGGAGAGCGATCGTGTCGATCTATTCAGGGAGCTGCAACTGTGCTTCCCCAACACCAACTACTCTGACGTGATATTTGAAGTTTCTTGGTAGGTCATCAGCAGACCGTGCAGCCGCTGCTGGACTACTACTTCGAGCCGGAGAAATTGACCGAAAATAACCAATGCTACTGCGAGATATGCAGTCGATTGACCGTCGGAGAACACATAACCTAGATCATGGAGGCGCCGTCCCGATTGATTTTAACTCTGAAGCTCTTCTTGACGAGCATCTTATCATCGACAGCAGGATTTACCAGCATCACGCGGTTGTAATCCACTGCGGCTCAAGTGTCGATAGCGGTCACTATTACACCATCTCCAAAGACAATAATCACTGGTACCAGTTCAATGATGGCTGCGTATCAAGAACATCGTCTGAGAAGCTATCCCGACTGAGATCCCCAAAACGCCATATATCCTCTTTTATAGCCGTGAAGATGAATCTAAGTGGGAGAGCCTTTCTCCTACCTCTCTACCTCTTAGACTACAGATGATTTTGAATCTGTGATGGCATTTTAGTAGAAATTTCCGAAGGACATTTTCTATGAGAGTACCTAAAGAAAGTTGAGTAACCATCGACTTTCCTGTTATCGATGCAAGGATTTCGTGGGTGTGGCATCACTGGACTTTTGGGCTCAAAACAGGAATCTGTTGAAACATTTCGAAGAATTTCGCGATTTTGAGTAACACAGTTTTAGCATAGGTCATTCGGAGCTGCAAACCTGAATTTATACTATTGCGACATAGCCTGAAATCATACAGGAAAGAATGGAATGTGCAAAGGACCTCGCAATAAGGTTTTAAGGTGAATTGCGTCTCGGTGGAATTTTCTCAATTTTTGATTTGATGTAGTTCATGTGAATATTATTCGATCCTTTTTGCCCTTCAGAATTTCACGATGAGAATTAATTTCAAGGCAACATTTCAGTGGGATGTGTTTGTGTCTTGGATTCTCTGAGAATTGACGAATGGGACATTCTGTTTGTGTGGGAGTAATGTCTGATTCAGATAATTGAAGACGTGTTATTCATCATTGATGAATATCATAATCGGAGTGGGTAATAGTTGGTAATAATTTCAAGATCATATGGGGATATTCCCTTTATCCGAATCCTTTGTATCATGGGATGATTTTGATATTGTGCATGCTGGTGAAATATCATATTTTGAATCATATCAATATGCCATAGTCCAGTCATTATATCCAAATAACGGACCTTACCCGTGAATAATTTTTTAGTGATTTTTTTTCCATAAGTGTCTCGGGGGGGTCACTGGGAGTGTAAATTCAAAATGGCGACCAAATCAAGCTTTTGCGTATGTTCGAAAACTGTTTTTTTTGTTAAAAAACGGTTTTTCTTGAATAACTCGGCCATTTTTTATTCTACAGAAAAACTTCAGGAACAAAAATTGTAGTAAATCTAGTTCTCTACAAGTTTGGTTTCCACAATTTTTCTGATAGGATCGATATTTTGTGAATTAAACCTGAAAAAAGCGACAAATTCGAAATATTTTCATTATCTCGTTTATTTTCAACTTTACGGCATAAATGAACAGGAACAAACTTGTAGAGAATCAAGTTTTGGAAAAATTTTGTCTCCACCTGTTTTTCCGAAAATCGATATTTTCGGAATTAAACCTAAAAAAAAACGACTCATTCGAAATATCATAATTATCTCGTTTATTCTCAACTTTACACCATAAATGAGAAGAAACAAACTTGTAGAGAATCAAATTTTGGACAAATTTGGTCTTTACCTGTTTTTCCGAAAATCGATATTTTCGGAATTTAACCAGAAAATATGTACCCACTGAAATGTTCTGTCTTATGCCACAACTGCGCTGGGCAGACTTGCGATAACGTCACACAATTGCGAGCCGTCGATGACAAAGACAGTGATGATGACAATGACATCGATGATCCCGCACCATTAACACTGAACCTTAACGAACGTGAAACTGGACATTACCAATTGACCGAAGAAGAAAGAGAGGATATGGATTTGGCAGGACCATCAGCTAAGAAACCCAAAAAAAAAATAGTTCCGGAACCATATTTTCACACCGACATGACAGACAAGCTACCTGCGCGGAATAACCTCTTCATTTATGCCGTAAAATGCGAAGCATTGGAGATAATGATAATCTTTTGAATTTGTCGCTTTTTTCAGGTTTAATTCCCAAAATATCGATTTTTGGAACGAAAACGTAGTAACCAAAATTGTTTAGAATTTGATTCTCCACAAGTTTAGTCCTCTTCATTTATGCCGTAAAGTTGAAAATAAACGAGATAATGGAAATATTTCGAATTTGTCGCTTTTTTCAGGTTTAATTTACAAAATATCGATCCTATCAGAAAAATTGTGGAAATCAAACTTGTAGAGAACCAAATACTACAATTTTTGTCCCTAAACTTTTTTGTAGAATCAAAAATGGTCGAGTTATTCAAGAAAAACCGTTTTTTAACAAAAAACATACGCAAAAGCATGATTCGGTCGCCATTTTGAATTTACACTCCCAGTGATCCCTCCCGAGACACCTATGAAAAAAAAAACACTGAAAAATTATTCACGGGTCAAAGTCTATAATGACTGGACTACCAGATGAATATGCGTTCCGGCAACTCAGTTGTTTGTGAACCTGAAAACTAGAAACTATCAGTTTATTCTTCAAGTGCCTATCTTTCGAGAATATTACCAAAAAAAAATCACTCATAATGTTAATTATCGAAAAATTGAATCGAAGAGAAGTTCGATAGCAGCTTATGTCAAATATTGATCATTGATTCATTGAGATGCCTCCAGTGAAAGATGTTCAAATATTTTTGGATTCGAATAGACTTAGAAAAAGTTTCAGTAGCAATTTGCCCCTTACCTTATCTATTTTCGTT